TTTATGAGTGAGAAAGTGTGCTGGATGAAATATTCAAAAAAGTGAGAAACAATTTGAAATTCATGTGATTACAATAAAAACATGATCACTATGATAACAATGGACTGAAAGATAAATGTTTTTCTTTTGTTCTTCAAACTAATAACATACTAACTTAGAAAGAAATTAATGCAAAGCGTAACTATGCTGAATGTTACATAATTGAACGTTTATTTGACGTAAACAAAATATGATATTTTATTTGCTTGAATCAAGCACAGAGTATGGAGAAAAGTTACCAAAAACCAGCTAAAAATGTAAGGAAGCTAAATGCAATGTACAATGTGTGGAACGCTAAATTCACTGAACACGTTTAGAGCTTTAATTTAGAAAAAATTAGTGTTGATATACAAGTGACTGGCTCTTGAATTTTTGATATGAGTTAGGTGATATGAGATTAGCAATGATTTACTGCGGCTGAGGTCACATTGGTGTTGACAAGATCTAGAAGAACACCAACATTGTTCAAACTTTTTGGCAACCAGAGAAAATTTTGTGATTTTCAAGTAGATTAATCACAGAAATATTTTATAAGAAGATGAAATTCTTTAGTAACTAAAGCAGTAGAACCAAAAATTTTGAGTAATGAAAGAGAATAAACGAAAAGGAAAAGAAGACTGTCAAAATAACAAGAGATAAAATGAGGCAGAAAGATGAAAGAAGAAGTAACTATTCAACTTATTTTACACTTCCTTTCTTATTTTACCTTCATGTGAAATCTTATTGTCAAGTGTTTTTGTATTCTTTCATTATTATTTAACACCTTGTTTTACGATCACGTAGTGCTTTCGTATTTTTCTGCTACAATTGTTATTTTTGTGTTTTTTCAATATATTTATTAATTGTAACATTTATGCTTTTTTCTGGCGCTAATTTCTATTTCTCTCACTCTAATGTTATCCATTTTATCAGTGACAATACCGTAATTTCAGTGTATTACAAAAGTTCGTTGATCAGTTTTTCCAATTATGAAATTTTTTGAATTATATGAAGAGCAAAGCATGTTAAATTTTACGCGTTAAAAAACAAATATAACAGGACTGTCCAGCAAAAAGATATGAAATTCATTGTTATATAATGGAAGAAAAAAATAAACTCGCTAATTACTGAAGTGTTTTGCAACAAACTTTTGTGCCCCTTCAATAATTGGCTTACTTCATATTCAAATTGTTTCTTCCTTCAAATTGTTTCTTCCTTATTGGATATAAAATGAGGAAACCAAAAAATTTCTCATCACAAAATAATGAGAATAAAACTATTTTTTTTAAATATGATTTTATAATTTTTGCTGTTTTATTTTCTTTTGTTGGCAAACTGATGCTATTAATAAAAGTGTGCAAGTAGATCGAAACCATTCTCAAATCATTGACTTGCTTTATTAAAGACTATGAGCTGTTATTTTGTTGCAAGTCTGTATTGACCTTGACAAGGCACCTTCAACAGCATTTTGCACCTTTGCTCTATGCACATTTTGTACGAATACAGATAGCACTTTTATACCATTCACTTCGTATGGAAACATTAGTTTTATCGGTGCTTGCTCTAACTTTTATCTCTTTCATTTCGGTTCATATCTCCCAGTTTTTTTATATGGAATCATCGTAAGTTTGGGTTAGTAGTCTCGTTTTAAAGAAGGATGTCTGAAAGATTATGAATAGAATAATAAAAATAAGAAAATTATATAGCTAAATGCAGGTTGCAAGGACTGCACTCGTTGCAGTTTGAAACTTCTTTTTATCTTCTAGTTTACGTGGATGATACTGCAAAATGTGCGTGATGTGTTGCGGCAAAAAACAAGCGTTTCTGAAAATGAGCTTTAAGTTTCATTGTCTTTGCAGATTGTTGCTGCAGTCGCAAATCCTATCGATATCAAAATGAAATTAAGCTTTTCAACTGGAATTTGTATTCTGTCTTACCAAAATCATTCCTCCATTTTGTATCTTTCGTTTCGAAGTTATTTGTTTTCATGCAGTCTCAATGGTCCACAGTGTGAGAAAGTGAGTTTTTATATTCAGGGCAGATAATTAAAATTAGTTTTATTCGAACGATTTCAATTAGTAGAAAAAAATCATCTCAATTATATTTCTAATACAATTCATACGTTAGGTTACATTCATTTCTCAGGACTTGAGTCATAAGTGTAGTTCATGTTCCAAAAAAAGTAATAGTGCAGTTTTGAAGTGAAAATTTATTATAAAGTTTTGCCTGATTGCATCGTCAATTCATGGCGGAACTAAACTTTTCTAGTAAACATTTGCAGTAACTGTAGCTGAATATGCTGTTGCAAAGGGGTGAGGTATTTTTATATATGTGTAAATGCAAATTCGCTTGATAGTGGGTGGATTTCCATTAGTTCATTCAGTTCAGAGCTTTTCTCGAAACTATTTCTTTTGATGGCATTTATTGCTCATTGTTCTTTATTTTCTAACTTTTTTGTTTGCTTATTTTGTGTTCATTGTTAGTTGCTCCCTTTTTTGTATGAATAAAGTATTTATGTTTGTTCGTTTCACACACAAAGCTGAATTAACGACATACAAAAGCACCAGAATTATGCAACACCATACTGATTACAGTATTGTACTCAACACCATACTGATTACAGTATTGCACTCATGCACTCATTTAGTGAGTAATGGACGATATTAATAGACAAGTAAATTATGTGTCATGATTGATATTGCACTCTCGATGTATTAAAACAGTCTTTATTCTACTCATGCAGATTCATTTATTTTCTATAGAGCTGTCTGTAAGCTAACATACTCTGACAGGCTCCGTCTTTCGAAACTTTGAAAATTTTGCGATGTATAACATTCAATTTTAGTCTTAGTTCTCAGATGAAATCATAGTGGACAAATAAGTGCTGAGAGCAGAGAAAAAATTGCAGTACACAGCATGAAACTGATAGCAATAAATGTTACATTTACTGGATAACATATTTATTTGTATACTACCAATCACGAGCAAAAATGAAAATTATCTTGAAGATATCACCATTTATTCCTTTTTACTATTTATTTTTTTTACAAATATTATCTATATATTTCCTCATTATTTGATACTGTTTATTATTATAATTCCTTTATTTTACTATCCTTATTGATTCAATAAATAATTTCAATATTATCCATTTATTTTATTTTTATGCTTCATTCATTATTTATTGTTACTAATAATTTATTTTATATTTATATGTTTTATATTGAAATATATTTTAATGACAGTTATTTATTTTATTATGATTATTTATTCATTTTACTATCACGACTTAATTGTTTTATTATTATTTATTATTTTTATTAGTCATTATAATTATTTGTCACTATAATTTTTTAATTTCATTATTAGTTAGTTATTTTATCATCATGATTAAATAATTATTTCATTATTATTTATTTTATTATTAGTTAGTTATTTCATTATTATGATTAAATAATTATTTCATTACTAATTTTTCACACAAAATTTAAAATCTGAATATAGCCGCGTTCCAAAAAAATAATTTGGTTGTCAGTTAGCCGTGCTTGGTTCCTTAGTCCCTGAGGAACCAGGTTGGAACGGTCACAGATTGCCGACCACTTATTTTTTTAATTTGTTTTTCTAAAAAAACAAAACCAAACTTTCTTGTTTTGATGGATTAAATTTAGCATTTCTGATATTATTAAATAGAGATTCAGAGCTTCCTACAAAAATATTTTAAAAAAGTTGTCGGTTTTATTTTGAAAAAAAATAGTCTCAAGTTTTGGCAAAATGTTTGAGTTTTACCATTTAAAAAGATGTTTTACATTTGAAAATGGTACTGCATGATAAGTATATCTACTTATATTTATAACATTAAAATATATATATATATATTTATAACATTAAAAAAATTATACCAGATATTTTTACTTTAATTACTGTGAAATGTCTTATCCTTTAGAAAGCTACGTGAAAATCAAGAAATTATTGTGAATTATGTGAATTACAATATACGCAGAACGAAGGGACTGATTCTGTATTTGTCTACTGTGCCAGCCAAAAAGCATTTTTGTCAAATGTCTCAAGTGTAGAGTCACTCTACGCAACGCTAAGACAGATTGAAAGCGAATTGCTGCTTAGTTTGGCATAAAATGCGATTTTTGGCTGACTGTGTGAGAGCGAGGGACCATCTCAGTTGCTTGCAAATGCGACACTACTTTATCTGGCAGATTCATCTACTTATTTGTATTTATGGTTTTCTTATGGGATTTTACATGTACTGCTCAACTTCCGTCTCGTACTCACTCGTATTCATTCCTAAAACTATATGTATTCTACTGCACTGAAATTTCTTCGAATTGTTATGCATTACTACTGATTTCACGATTTTTATAGCTTATTTACTTCTAAATTCTGTAACATAATTGTATTGATCAGTGGTGCAGCATTTCTTAAGTGAGGTAGTGATTAGAACAAAAATTATACGTACTAATCTCTTACAGTTTGTTTGCAAACTATATGTCCAATAAAGTAAAATTTTCGAATGTAGGAAATAAAACTTCCGGTGAAACAAATTAATGTATTCACAGTAATATGCAAAACGGTGAGCGGTCGGCTGGGATTTTATTGTTTTCATTTTTAACCACTTTTAAAATTTTTAGTGTAGTTCGATATGATTCTCATCAGACACATAGTATTGTTATGGAGTGAATGAAATTGCTTTCAAATTTGGGAAATAAAAGTGTAGGAATCAACTAGATTGTTAATTTTGATATGGCTTTTCAGTTCTCGAGTCACATTGAGTTTTTGAAATTGTTTTCAATATATTTCCCGCCTTCCTTCTAGTAAATTTAGTTTGTAAAGAGAAGAATAACCGAGCAAATAATTCAAAATTTGAAAAAAACTCTAAGAATTTGAGAACATCATTTTTAGAAATAAATATCGAATTGTAAGTTGTTTTAGATTGATTGTTTCCACGTTGGGAAGAGATCATTTTCGCAATGTTTAAAGTGGAAAATCAAATTGCTAGTGACGATGTGGAGATGTTAGCTGGTATTGAATATTGGACAAAACAATTGAAACAGGCTTGTTTATGAAACAAAAATTTTTAAATGTTGCATAGAAATTGATTTATGAAGATTAATGTTGAACTTGCATAATGTCAAGGTTAGAACTTTCAAATGCTTTTTGTATTTAAATAAATCAAAGTAAGAGCTAATTTAGGTAAAAATTGCTTTTGAGCACTTAATGATAAAGTTGTTTGGCAAAGAATCACTCCTGCTGTCCAATTTTCATTTTCCCTAGTGCAGTTCAGAAGTAAAATCAAAGGAAAAAAGAGTAGAACTAAATTATTAACGAAATTAAGGACTGTAAAAAGTTTAACGTTTTAAAGTTTAACATTTATGCTTCGCAAAATGAAAGGATTGCAAGTTTGCAGCTTAATTATACGATAAGAAGGATATACTAATTATTTATTCATTATTACTCACTATATATTAGAAAAAATGTATTTTTATTATTTACTTGTACTTATTCTCTGAATATATACATATATTATTATAGGTTGAACGATTGTTGATACCTGTAACTCTGAACATATTATTGACTCTAAGTGTATGGATTGGTGTTTACCGAGCAAAGACAGATTCGAATTCTGTATTTTACTATATGCTTGATCCTGAACATAATCGTACAACTGGAAATGAAGTTATAGATGGATTGGTAAAAAATTTTATAATAGAAAAATATATATGAAAATCTTATAATTTTGGGGGAGTTAACTCTTGATTTCTTTGATTAATTACATTTTACTCTAGATAAAACAGAGTTAACATTGTTAAAAGCATGTATATTTTTATTTTAAATCATTACTTGAATTCATGCTAAATATTGCTTGAGAATTATTGAAATGACCGTAGAATTCAGTTCATGCCAATGAACTTCATAACTAATTTAGATTGTGAGTTCCTCTTTTGTAAACTTTTCCTCTTGTGCAAATTTAGAGGAAGATAATTAACTTCGTTAATTCAGTTTCAAGTGCTACTTCTAACTCAATTTCATATGATTTTTTGAATTTATGAATTCAATATTTCTAAAGTTCATTATCATTTTCAAGTTATGATAATGCACTGTTAATTTGATTAGTTATAACATCTGCAAAACATTGATTTATTCGTCTGTTTGATTAAATAATTATTGAAAGTCAAGTATTTTGAGTGTTGAATTTTCAGGTAAACGGAATTGGGTGCGTTTTCATGTTGGCTATAATTAGTTTTGCACTTCTTGGAATGGCTTTATACGATTACAAGCGACTTGTACAAATGTGGCTTTACATGTCTTGTGTACTCATTATTTTTGGTGTCTTCTCTTCATTTTTGGTGTATGATTTTGCTCAGCTTTGAAAAGAAAACTTTTGTTTGTAAAGTTGTTCGGAGAAAACACATAATTCCGTTAAATTAGTGCTGTAATCGTCAGAACAGTGATCTATTATGATTTCGCTCTGACAAATTTTCGACCAGCAAAACCAGGTTTGCGTAAGATTTGAAGTTCAACTCTATATTCATTCTTTCATGAAAAATATACAAAATTAAGAAACCATGAAATTCAAATCATTCGAAAGTAATTGAGAAAAAACCGTATTATTCACACTTTAATTAACAAGTGTAAGGCTTTGGAATTTTATCAGATATAAAGCAAAATAGTTTGACAGTGTAAAAAAAAAAATATTTGCGCCGCTTTCAATAAGTTTCCATTCTACTAAACAAAAAACACCAATTTTGTTTATGCGCTAACTTGCATCTGTCAATATTCAAGTTGTATAATTCAGTGATTTATTCAAAGCATTGGGATTTGAAACTGCTCCACCAGTATTTACTATTCTCATTGTTGCTGCTTATGGTTCGATTGGTATTATCGTATTTTTTACTAAAAGAGCACCTTTATACATGCATCAATTCTATGTTATCTGCAATTGCTCGTTAGTTTCTGTATTTTATCTTCGAATGTTCCCTACACATACGGCATGGTTCGTATTGGTTTGTATCATTATTTGGGGTTAGTTTATAAGTTTTTTTGAAATTTATTTCAATTTTTTTCCATCATGTGCGATGGAATGATATAATTCTTGTGTATATATATGGTTACAGGTTAATCTTCTTTTCTGTTTTTTTGATTCTGCGTTATACCGTGTTTCGGCACTTTTGCTGTACTTGGCGGCACTCAGTTCCGGTACTGCTGGTTCCGATATACTGGCTGAGTGTTCTCCCATGTCCTTCATGGAACTTTTTTCAACTACCTCACCTGTTTTCCATTTATTTTCATTTATAATTCCAGGCTGTTTTTTTTCGTTCATCCTCCGTTTTCTGCTTTCTTGCCTTGTGATACGATCGTTATCTGACAACTCAACCGTCCACCAACTTGGCAAAGCTGAGCAGTAGTGCCAAACTCAATTATATCTATCTAGACATACATAAGTGATCGTATTCTGGATTTTTTGCTAGATCGTATTCTAGCATTTTCGCTGGACTTGCCTCGCGCCCAGTTCTCGTGTGCTGAGTTTCGCTGCTTCGTCCTCAGCGAATCCACGCGCTGATCGAATGAGATTCATTCAAGCCTTTTCTTGAGTACTATCGATTGGATATATGCGGTTGTGATTATACTAATCTCCTTTACGTAGCGCCTATGGATGTTCGTTACAATCTCATCTCAATTCATCACATACGGAATTATTTTGGTCCTGCATTTCATCTCTGACCCAAGCTTATTAGCAAGTGAGTCATATTTTCGCTTATTCTTGATCTTGACTGCTGTCATCCTGTCCTGCCATCTAGTTATGCCATCTGGATTACTTCACGTCACTTCGTGTCGTGTATCATGATATCCGATGATATGACTTATCTTTATAGCTGTTCTCATCGCGTATCGACTCTGATATCAACGTTCTTATCCGCGGCGACCTCCTGAACAGAATGGCTTCACATACGCGGAAATGCTTTCAGATCATACTTCTTGCAGAGTCCTAATGAATACATCGTAGGACTTCATTGTATCTTTTACTAGAGATACATTTTTTTCGTACTGCGTTGTTAGATGTCGACCATCTACATACGTTCCCTACATTGTTTGCACATACCTTTCTCAGCTCCAAACATTTTCTATCTTAGAGGTAACAGTATGGTGCTTTATCTTGTGAGTCATATTTCCGAATCTTAGCCACATTAATGAATCTACAGTTGAGGCTAACTCATTATTATTCATCTTGTATAGCGCTGCATGACGAATTTTCCTTTCAACTTTGCTAAGGAGCACTTTCTGGGCTGTTGGTAGGTTTCAGATGTTGGATTATCTTGGAAGTTGTATTTAGTCTGAAGATAAAGTATATGTGTTGTGAGTCTTTTTCTGCTTCAAAATCGCCGCCCTCCTGATATCTACAAGAGTATTATGAAGTTGGTTCGTTATGAAGCTCACTTCTTTGTTCAATATTGTATCAAGAGTACAACTTTAGCTGCACCCAAGTTGAATAGTATATCTTTTTTGGCCTTCTATTAAGTATTTATTTGTGTTAAAAATACTGATTGTACAGAGTTTATAATTATAAAAGGAAAGAAACAAACTTAATGAGCAATATTATAAACTGATTTCATCTTTAAAAAGTGCTGGCTATCAAATATATGTGGTCTACAGATATTTGGAATAAAAAGATAAAATTTCAGATGCATTTGCTGTACTTGCACCTTTTGGTCCATTAAGACGTATTAATGAAAAGGCTCATGAATATAGTGATCAAGTAAATATTTTATTAGTAAAATTTAATTGTGATATAATTTGGTTCATAAAATTTGATTTTGTATTAAAAATGAATCAATTGTGGATAAACCATCAGAAAGATTGAGAAATTAATTAATTAACTGATTTACTGCAGGTATTGAGATTCCTGATGTTTACGGCTCAAGATCGAAGTGATTCCTTACAAGATGAAACTGTAAGTCATGAATAAAAAATTATGTGAATAGTTGGGTTTTATCGTAAGCAAATTCTTAAAAACTTGAACTTAAGACCAGTAATCGTCAGCTAAAAGCAATTACACAATGACGTCAAACTATTGGACGAATTTTTAGGGATTGTCTGAATAACTATGCAAAGGTTTAAAAGAATTATTCTTAAGTCTCTCAGTGTGCATTAAAAACATTAATATACTTGATGAAAATTCATTTTTAAACCAGTCATTTAGGCAGCAAGTGATTGTGCCATGATGTCAAAGCCACTAGACAATAAAACAAAGTATGAAGTATGTCATTAAATAGATAGGGATTTGATAATGTCCATGATTTTTCATCACAAACTTCTGTGCTAATTTTTACACCAAAATAAGTACAAATTTTAAGAAAAAATTCAAATTGAAACAGCTTCTAAGTTTTCAAGCTTCCCCATAAACTGTATTTTCATTGCAGATAGATGAAAATATTCGTTTACGTAAAACTGCAAGCCCAGAAAGAGATATTCAGGCCAAAATAGTGGAGCGAAACTGCCAGAAGGTTGAAACATTCATTAAACTAGCAAATGAAGAAAGAAAATACACAGTTTACGATGCTTTGAATGATGGTTGTAAGAATAATTTCTTTTTTTTCACATTAATTTTAATCAACAAACACTCATTTTCGCTTCATGTTAAATAATTTTCAAAACCGGTTGCTGACTCTCAAAAATAAATCATCACAAAATATCAACCAAAAATCTTTTCATATTCATGTTTCGCAAATATCTTATATCATAATTAATGACTTATTTCCATAACTGCTAGTTGCTTTCCTATCTCGTAAACTAGTGCATGGTATTTTGAGTAACTTTTAAAAAATATAATACACGTCTTCATTAATGTAGGTTAATGGGATATGTGACCCCAGGAGACTAAATGACATGTCATTTAGTGTCAAGTAGCGAATGTGCTACTGTAGTGTTGCACTCTGCACTGTAGGGTTTTTCACTAATTTGCATCTACAATAAACTTAATAAAGCATTTAGCATCGATTCGTCTCGGTATGGGTGATTTTGTCTTCTACAGTTTACTCGTAGGAAAAGCTGCGGCAAGTCAAAGTGCTATGTGCGTATTGGGTTCAGCTGTTGGCATACTTGTTGGATTAGTAGTAACCTTAACAGTACTATCAAACGAAGAGGAAACGACACCGGCATTACCTGTTTCAATTACTGTCGCATTACTATTACATTTTGGCATATATCTCTTCGTTGAACCTTTCTACCAACAAATTGTTACCTGCCAAAGATTTATGCTTCTACTGTAATCACCATCTTATGCAATATTTGTTATTTTCTTAGCTCCCTTCCTCTTGTTCCTTCAATATAATGTCTAATTGCTGAGTAAATCGAAAGAAAACGTAGCAGTTTAGATGTTCTGAGCTATTGAATTATTAAATATTCCATACTTTCTTGGTTCAAAATTAATTTACAAAATATTTTTCATATAAAACCGAGATTAGTATTTTTGTCCTTTTTTCAAAGCGAACAAGAATAAATTTCGCATGAAAACTCAATAAAAGCTTCACTGAGTTTCATAACGAATCCGTGTTTAGATTTTGATGAGGGATTAACTCTGAGACTTATACCAAACGCAAAGTTCACAGAACTGTGTATTCGCTCAATGGGGATTGTGTTAAGAATACCACTTTTAAGGATTGCTAAAGAGAATTCAACTTCTCTCACTGAAGCTCTTTTATATAAACTTAACATCTCTATTTGTTAAACATAGCGAAATATGGAAGACATTACGGATTTGCTGGGGCTGTTTAATTACATCTTCGGAGTTCTGTCTCTTTCGCTGCAAGACTAAGCATCAAGTTTTGAAGGTGGGAGGCTGATCTGAAAAGCTTTTTGATCTTGAAAATATTATTGCTATCACGGTAGCTGAATAATAGCAGAAGTTGGTTGTTGCTACTAGGTATTGAAAGGATGAAAAGTTAGCATATGTCACTGTAAATCCAAAAATAGTACAGACTTCAAACTCCCTCATTGGGGTAGTTTGTCAAAAATTGTAATAGAGTGCTTTTTTTATTGCAAGAGTTCTAAAGCGAAAACTAATTTCAGGTAGTTTTGTGATAATATTTGAAATCTAGCCTCCTTAATTTTTCGTAGTCGTTATTGCTTCATTGAATTAAATATTTACTCGGTTCGGATTTTCGCACAACTAACGTCGTAGTGATTATTAGAATTACAATAAATTATTTGCTGAATTGAACAGTCTGAAGACCATGGGAAATTACCTTTGTAATCAGTGAAAGCTAATCATATTTGTTTAAAAGGATGTTAATTTTGGGACTATCAGATTTCAGAGTTACATTTGAATAAATAGATGTATTTTATATGAAGAAGCAGTTTCGAATTATTCCTCCTTTTGAAAAACTGGTGACTGTTTATGCTGAGTTTTTGAGAAGAATTTGAGTAATTAGTCACCAATGCAAAGTATTTACTGTTGCTGTCTTGCTTTTGCGAACAATAAAAGCCTATAGAAACAGCAGGATGTTATTAAGTGATTGAAAATATCTATTGTAATTATGACATTAGTGTATTAGAGAATTATAAATAAGGATGGAGGAGTAGATCGCAAGACAACAATGTGGATTGTACTCTGTCACTTAACAAAGATGTGTTGTTGGTTAAGAAAGACTTTTATAGAAGGGATATCTTTATGTATATTAAAAATTAGTAGTAATACTTTTATTTATGGATCAGCAGAATATATGTAATTTATGTTACCACTTGAAAATGTTCAATGAAAATAACGCAGTTCACGTGTGAATAATTTGTGCGGGGTAAAATCTACAGGATGTTTGGGAGTTCAGCTGGAGGAACTGGTAAAGGATTTTCGTTTTCATTCAACTCCACTACAACAAGTACTTCTACATTATGTACAACCACAACTACCACCACAAAGCCTCTGTTTTCGTTTTCTACCACCTTCTCAACTCCTGCCAGCACACTTCCTTCAGAGTCTTCAATTTTTTCTTTTGGTACCGCATCAAAGCCATTGTTTAGTGCAGCAGCTTCAACTACTGTTCCTACTACTAGTACTACATGGGGATTTGGTACTTCAACCACTTCTGGTGAATTTTGATTTTTTAATATTAATTTTTCATCTTTACCACATCATTAGAGATAAAAGAATGAAAAAGTAAAATATTTTTTCTTTAAATATTTGTGAATAAATGATGCACAGATTGTCAGACAAAAATGTAAAAACTTATTTTTGACTGTGAATTCCTAAGTTTTTAATATTCGTTATTTAACGTGCTATTTAGTTAACCAAAAAGTGCTCCAATCTGTGTGTATAGAGTTGCAGAACTGATTAGTAAATATGCGGTTTCATTGTTGACCAAATTAGTAAAGGGACACAGTTGAATGTTTAGATCTGTGTTGTAATATGCTGCCGTTATTCATAGGTTATGAATCACACAAGGATTAGTTCGAATTAATTTGGCTTGCAAAATATTTTCTTGAAAAATCGGCTTCTTCTGGTAATTAATTGGATTTTTTATAAGTTCTAAGATTTATTCAGGAACAACAAGTTTGTTTGCCACTAAAGTTGCATCAGCTACAAATACATCTGCTGGAAGTACTGATTTTTCGTTTGGTTCGAAATCGACAAGTACAATGAGTGGTTTGTTTGGTGCATCAACAACCACGTCAGCATTCGGAGTACCCAAAACACCATTAGTAGAAGGGTCAAAAACAACAGCGACAACTGTTGCAGCTACAGCAGCAGTCGTAAATGCAGTGGCCTTGCCATTTTCGTCGTCTGCCGGTATCTTTTCACTGTTAATTTTATGTATTCTTGTTTCAATATCTGATTGTCATTCAGATTTGCTTTAGAACTGAATATTTCCTAAAATTAGATCAAATCTTAAAAGGTTTTGATGCAAGTCAGAAACCGTTTGGTAATTTATTTACATCATCACAACCAGTGTCATCTGTCGCAGTATCTACAACTCTTCAGTCAAGCAGCGGAAGTCTTTTTAAATCAGCTCCACCAATGGCTGCTCCAGTCGGTATGATAAATTCTTAATTTTTTTAGCATTGAATGTTTTTTCTAAACATTTGCATATTATAATCATTTTTATCACTCAACTTAATAGTTGCAGTTTCCTGCTAAAAATATGTTCAATTTTTCTGTACATTATATAAGCATCGAGCATCATTTCTCAATCGAAAATTGATCCTTGAAATTATATTATAGTTGGAATATTAATCATATATGTTAGTTAACGTCAAAAAAATGAACAATTGATCTGTTTTGTACAATTTAGGATTTGTGTCTTCTGGTGCTTCATCAACTTTGTCTTCTGTTGCCTCATCAACTGCAGCAACAACCACACAATCACTCTTCTCTTTTAGTCCCTCTCTTTTAAATCAACCTGCTACTTCTTTGCCTGGTTTGTTTGATAGTAAAGTTTGTTTTTAGATTCAAAATTATTGTAGAAAACTTATTCATAAATTTCATGCCTAAATATTAGTGCTATGGCAAGCATACTTGCTACTGTCATGTTTTCTTGAACGTAAAAAATGCAAGGAGAACTTATTACTATTTGTTAATTGTTGCCATATTATCACTTCTAATATACATAATGCATTTCAATAATTATTTTACAGGATTTAAAACTGTTTTGAGATCATACTTGAGATTTAAACTATTTTTAAACAATTGGTCTCTCTATTTTCTTCATGAGTTTGATTTTAGATTTTATTGTAAGATTTTTTATGATTTTTTTTTATTTAATCCTTCTTCAGGAACTGGAACGTCGCAGTTAGCTCCCACAATTACTTCTGCTGGGTTAGGTATCAGTATGGCAACAACTGGTTTGATGGGACAAAAAGCAACTACTGAAACTTTTCTAAATAAACCTGTTGCCCCATCCTTCACTGCTACTTCAGCAGCAGGATTTTCTTTTGGAGTTCCTACTACAGGTTTTGATAATTTTTAAGAATAATCATTTGTGACTATATTTTATCGTATATACATAAAAAATATATGCTGGACGTGGTAGTTTCTGAAAATTACTATTTGCTAAATTTTTATCAAAATAAAGAATTTTAGAAAACTTTGTAAGTTATGAACATTGTACAAAAAAATTAGTATCAATGATATTGTCGATTAAAGAAATTAATTTTAAAATGAAATTGAATATTGAATAGATTGTAAAATTACAGAGGATTCAGCAGTTTCAGGCCTTATTTTTCCTACAATAGTCAGTACTGCTCCACTCTTTACTTCTGCTGCTCTTACCACAAGCTCAGTGAATACTGTGCCATTGTCTTTTGGTTCGACGGTTTCAACTTCTGGGGCTATTTCAACTTCTGGGGCTACTGCGCTAAGTTTGTTTGGCTCTGCTGCTGCAACGAATGTTACGCTTCCTTTGACTGGTTCGGTAACCACTATTTCTAATGCAAACTCTTCATTTGGCGGATTGTTTGGGGCCATACCTACTTCAAGCATATCATTTCTTCCAACTCTTCCAGCAGCATCAACGACGACTGTGTCTGGACTAGGGGGTATTAACATAAGTATTAAAAATTTTGGTAATGAAGTGAGAAGCAAATAAAATTACATGTCAATTAGTAGGATACGTTTCGTATTTGTGTAGTATTTCATGTCAATTTTTCGAATGTGTTTTATCCTTTAGTTTATTGCAGTTAGTATTTTGTAGGGCCACAATTTGGATTGTTGTCATCATCAGTAGTTACTGCTCCAGTTTCCACACCTGTGGCTTCTTTCGGCGCTTCAGGTAATTTCTCCAAATCTGAAATGTGCTATTTATATTGTAATTTTTTTTTTACATTTTATGATTGAAACTTTACATTGTGTATTTTATTTGCAGCTTTGACAGTGCAGCAGCCATCAGTTCCATTGATTAGTACTATACCATCATCGTTAATTACAACCAGGTGAATTTTTCGTTTAAATCACTGAAATATAATTCCCTCATTAAATTAACCTCATATTATTCAATTTAATTAATTATGACTCATAATTCTTCTGCATCCTGTAAATCCAATTGAACTGAAATATATATTTGGTAGTAAAAATTCCATTATAATTTCGATCCATGCCTTTTTCAAACTTCAGTTTTGGTATTATTTTTATCTGGAAATGAATTAGTGTATAGGTAAAGGTGTTTATCGAGCACTTTGTAAAATGAAAAAATGATCGAAGTTTACATTTTTTTAAATTCCTACTATTTTTTATGTCTGATATTAATGAATTTTTCATGTATAAACAAATATTTTTAATGATCAGTTTTCGTGTGTCCATGAAGTTTTTATACTTTCATCTTTTGTTGCATTAATGGCTTAAATAGAAACAAAACGTTGGTATAACGAAAATTTTGAAATTTCATTTCAGCACAACGTCCACAACTTCAACAGTGTCATTATTATTTGGAGGTTTATCGTCTGTAACACCATCCATCAATACTGTTATACCAACTGGATTTACTTTGTAAATTTTCCCATTCAAATGCTTATTCGATTAATATGTGAAAATTTACATAGTTAAACTTATTGTAGATATTTTATATCAGTAAAATGGTATTGCCTGATTATGTCATTTGTAATTATTTGCTGACAGCTGCTCCGAAAAAGTCTGAATTCTCTCAACCTGAAAGTGCTTAATTATAAAAGTGGCCAGTTGTAGTGGGCAGATGGCAACTACAACAGCAGTTTCGAGTGTCGTTTCAGTACCAGTCATGACATCTCTGCTTTCATCAACAACAAGTATTGCAAGTACGGTTACTACAGGTTCAGTAGTTTCAACATCTTCAGCACTATCATCATTGTTGTTTCCTCCAGTATCAACGACTACTAATCTTTTAACAACTCCGGCGACAACTACTACAACAACTATTTCCATAACGTCTTCAAGTGTATCAGTGGCCAGCTCTGCCCCTTCTGTTTCAGTTGCTAATATTACGTATGTTTCATGAGATTAAAGTTATAGTCAAATAATTGACATAAAATTCACTGCTTCTTATATTAATTGTTTTTTCTCTTTTAAAAGGCTCGAATATTATTTGTTTAGTTTACCAGTTATAATAATTTCAAAACTGTTTACAAATTTTTTGTTCATGAGGTAATTTTCCACATTTCAATCATTACCCCGTTTGCTGAATTTTTACAGCCCTGATAAACCAATATCTTTTGCACAATTAGAACAGCTTGTAAATCGCCTGGCACTTGATGTTGAATCACAGCAACGTACCTTTATGTCTCAGGTCCTGGAATTGAATGCTTATGATCGCGTATTACGAGAAAATCAAAAAAAGGTACTAAGAAAAGAAAATGTTTCAATTTTTGCTGCTTGAATCATAACAAAGTTTAAGTGCTGAATAAGATCTGTATACTCCGTGCTTCAGTCAACATTAGTTTTAGATTTTTGTATTATTCAATTTAATTTTCAGTTTACTATTAAATATGCCACCCAGCGAAAACAAGTGTTATAAATAGAGTCAAATCACGTATTTTCTAATTTAGCCTTTATTCTCATACAGTACATATAATTTACTTTTGGATTCCGTTCGAGACGTGACATTTTTAATATTTCTCGTTTTTAATTTTGGTTACCCCAGTTATTTTTAAACTATTTCATTCCAGGTGCTTATTGCTGATGAAGAAATTAAGCAGTTAGAAGAAGAAAAGGATCGGTTTTTGCATGTAGTTGATTTCATTTCACAGCAACAAACTGAACTTGAGGCTTTAGTTGTTGAGCTAGAAAAATCTTTAGGTCTTGGGGATTGGGCGGAAATGGCACCAATAAAATTACCAGATATGGGGATAGCCACTCATGCTGATATGGAACGACGGTCAATGTAATTATTTCAATTATACTTATGTGATATTACTTTACTATTAGTGTTATCCTTAAATTTTATTGTCATCAATTTATCACCGCAAGTAATGAATGAAAGAAACATTTTGATTATTTAAGAGAAAAAAAATTAACATGCCACGATGCTTCAACTCATCTAATCAAGGAGATGTAGAAATAAGTGAATTTCAGATTGCAACTACAAGTACAGATTGATGCACAGCTAAAACAAGCAGATGATGACATCAATGATATCATTGAGCAGGTTATACTATATAACATTAAAAATTAGAATCTGGAAAGTATTGGGAAAGAAATTTTTTTTTTTTAGGTGAAAGAGTTACAGACAGCATCTGCTGGCGCTGATGACGAGGCAGAGACTGCAGATCAAATTGCTCAAATTCTTAGGCGTCAGTTGGATGCTCTTCAGTGGATTGATGAACAGTGTAGTAAGTGTTCATTCTTAGAACATAAAGAACTGGTTTACGTAGCAGTTTTATGTACTCCTATTAAGCTGAAAGCATTCGAAAATTTGGTTGCAACAACCAAACTTTTTAGTTATGGTCAAGTAGAATTGATTCCTCTTGCAGTTAAAAAGGACAATATTTATTACAGAGTTACTCAAAAGTCGATATTAGATTTGTAGTCAGTAACATAGTGTCGATAAAATCAGGCTAGTAGGATCACTGATATTCGTAGATTGTTGTAGATAGTCTTTTATTCGCTAACTTAAAAGTAAACGTATTTTCTGTTCGTAAGAATTTTAAAGCATTCCAATCTAAAGGAGGTTCAATAATTTTGTAAGCACCAAATAATTTTTTGCTGCAGTGATTAAGAGCGTTATAACGAGGCATTTGACATTAGGTTGTAATGAAGCATGAAGTAAATTAATTTAGGGTCTTTTAACTAATGAAAATTTTTGATTGTTTGAAAGTTTTTTACTTTTTAGATGAATTGCAAAGCAAAGTAGTGAAGCTAACAGAAGAATTGTCGGCTAGATGAACGAAAAGACTATTTCCTTTTTTTTAAGGTCTTGAAACTAGCAATTTGTTGTCAAAGTTCGTTCTGAAAAAAATGAATCTTTATTCTAATATATCTTCAAAATTTTTATCCTAGGCATGTATTTTAAGAGTGTATCGTAAAAAAGGAATAAAAATCTTTCTTCCGTTGCATTTATGGTAATTTTTGGGATTAAAGTCTACTAACTTGTGAAAATTCCACTGTGCTTTGCTGTCCACATCAATACATTATATTCACCATTTTCACTTTGTTGTCTTCATTTTTTTTAGAAATGTTATGAAATAGATTTTTTCGATAGCACTTTCATACTGTTGTATTTTTATGCTTTTTTGACACCCGATGTTCTTCGTTTATTTCGTTTCGACAAATAAAGTGGTTCATTGCTTTATAGAGTCATGCACTACAGTTTAGAAAACAATGACTAAGTTAAATTGTCTTATAACTTTTATCTGCTGTCAATGAAAGCAAATAATGACCTTATTGAGTTGGGATGTTCCTGGGAATGGTTATGCGTCCTAGTCGAATTTTCCTGGTATCTTCCTCGGTAAGTGCTAAATGAAGAGAAGGGTAGTCTTGAAAATGGCAATTTGATTTTGAACAAGTATTGTTCGTTAAATTCATGTTGCGTTTTTCGTTTTATGTTCTAGTTAGTATATGAGATGGATGAAAAAATCCTTATCGTTGGGCTGACTTGCTTAGATATTGTCAATTATGTTGAAAGCTATCCAGTTGAAGACGGTGATTCACGGGTAGTGAAGCAGGTTGAATCTTTTTAATTATTTTCCTTCCACTATACTTTTTAGCTCAGAAATTCAGCCACTTTAAGATACCTAGGAAGCTACTGACATTACGGATCGCTCATTTTTAGTTACTAGAACCGAAAATTTTTTTGACTTGCTGCTAAGTTATTTCATATTTAAATATCTGCACTACAGTCTAGAAAACGAGGAATAAGATGAGTTAGCTTGTCACTTTTATGTGCTGTCAATGAAAGCAGATAACCTTATCGAGTTGGAATGTTCTTGGAAGTGTTATTAATAATCCATATTTAAATAAATTATTAATAACTTGCTTACTAACTAAGACATGCGGTGCAATAAAGTATTTTTGGATAACTAACCTCTGCTTTGGAATTTAATGTTGCACTAAATTTAAAAGCAGAGGTTAGTTATGCAGAAATATATATAGAATATCATGCTAAAGTAAACTTCCAACATGCGTTGGTCTTGCAAGAGAGTTTTCTTCCGATTTTCTGCTTATGAATTTGAAATTTTCGATCCTTAAAATTTTCGGAAGTTTGCATAATTGTTGGAATCAACATTTTTTGTCTCATTAAGTTATTGGAACTTAAATAAATGTAAATACTGTTGAGATTTTATCAAGTTGAGAGTTTTTGATTTACAACTCCAAACAGTTAAATTTCAAATCAAGTTTAGTTTGTTGAAGTAGCTTTAGATTAACAAAATTACTGGTTATATCGAATTTATATAAGTGGTAAGTCTGAATTTTAGGTTTGGACCACTGGAGGCAACGCTACCAACAATATTACTGTTTTAAATCAACTCAATTCTCACTCAGTATTGTTTTCTTCGATTCCAGCTCAGTGTCCAGTGCTCGAATCGTAAGTATGGAAGTTTTTGTTTTCGAAACTATTTCTATTTGGGAAACATCTGGATTTTAGCAGAATATTTCATTTAAGATTTTAGCTTTATGGTCATCCAGTTTTTTTGTAGCATTTTTTCCCTTTACATTTACTTTTACCTTTGCAAAGTTATTTTTTCTCAGAATTTCAGATTGTTGAAAGGAGCTGGTATAAAAACAAATTATTGTATTCGTCGCTCAAATTCTGAATTACCAATTTCAACAATTATTGTAAGTGAGAGCACTGGTTCAAGAACTATTTTGCATTACAGGTGATTCCAGTCCTGACAGTGCAATTAGATAAGTAGTACGCAGTGTCACGAATAGTTGTAGGCTATTAGCAATTCACTACAGATTGCAAATTCTTTTTCAATAGTAAACTTATTAAATTTTTGCCAGTTTCTTAATTTTTTCCAAAATAGTTAAATGAATGATAATATTATTATGTTTTGAGATGGAAATGTCAGATCATTAACCACCACTTTCAGCAAAACTTGCTTGAATCAAAACTTTCCAAAAAATGGTAAATTATCCTAGAGAAATAGAAAGCAGGACGTTGTTAAGAATTCGTCAAAATTTTTATTGCTTTTGTAAATAATTTTATTTCAAATTTTAATATGTTTGAACTTTAGTTATTCATAACTGCTGCGTGATTTGTTTTTTCTTTATCATTCCATAATATGAATATTTATGTAATGTACAGGGGCCAGCTACAAGAACCGAATTGCAGAGAATTTCAAGATGCTTTTCCAGACATAAGCAGATTTTCTTGGATACACTTTGAGGGTTAGTGATATTTTTTGTTTATAAACAGGCGAGATCAGCGATTATTTCTCAAAATTTTATTCATCTGCTCCCAAGTGTGCATTCTTTTTTCAAACTTTTCAAGTTTCATATATTCATAGGAAGAAACTTTGAGAATGTTATTTCGATGATACGACATGTTCGAAAAATGAGGCAAAATAACGAAAAGCCTACAATTTCTTTGGAATGTGAAAAAGTTCGAAATTTTCCAACACTCGAAGATGCAATCCCTCTTGTAGATGTTCTCTTTATATCAAAAGATTTTGCAAGGTGTTTTCGTCAACTTTTTAGTGCAAAATTTCACTTAATTTTTTTCATGGGCTTTGATAAAATTGAATTGATAAAATTCAAAAGTTCAAGCACAGCTATAAATGAATTGAAGGTACGTTACTCATAACTTACGGTCAAGTTTCTGATACATATGGCTTGTAGCTTTTCAATTCTAAAAATTCTATAAATATCAAAAAATATGATACTCTCACACTTAATTCGTGAATGTAATTAATTATACTTTTGTTTATTTCATCTTTTATGTTCGAAATAATCTTGTTAAAGAATTATTGAAAACGGTGTTAACCAGTTTTTAGAAACAAAGGATTTCGAAGCAAAGAGCAAGGAGTTAGTGGTATACAAGAAAAATATTGTGCTTCCAATGTCATCGTAATTTGTCCATGGGCTGAGAAGGTAATTCAGGCATAGTTATTTTTTCTGATATTTGTCAAGGAAATTTTCTGATGTTGGTAGAAGAATGTACAATCTAAATATCTTGAAATAAGCACTTTTCTATATTTCTCCACCGGCTAATATACTTTATATCAGCAAAGTACTTGAGAATTAGTTTTATGAATTTTTGCGATTTATAAATTCATATGTAAATTTACATGTACTGTTTCTGAAATGACGTTATGATGCGTTATTTATTAAAATAGAATTTTGAAAAAAGTTTTCACAGGGAGCAGCTGCTCGATCAACTTCAGAGGATGAGATGATATCTGTGAATAGTTATCATGAAAATAAAGCTGCTATTGATACGGTGGGAGCTGGGGATTGCTTTATCGCATGCTGTATTCATTACTTAAACGAAGGATGTGGGCTCCGTGAGACACTGAGGAAATCCTGTCGAATTGCAGGTAAAAAGGTGACGCAAAGAGGACTACTTGATTTAGATTTGAGCTAGCAAAAGTGTAGCTTAATTTAATTATAATTCATAAATGACTTATCATATTTCATGATGAGAGGATATTTTTAAACACGTTTTTTCCTTGCTTCTTGTTTAGTCCAACGTTCAAATTTTATTTATTGATGAAAATCACTATAAATGAGAAACTATTGATGAATTTAAAAAAATGGTTAGTGATAACTTTTGTTATTTAATTTTAATCAAATTTATATCCCGGTCTTGCTTTGCGACACAATACCAGTTGTGGTTGTACCTTCGGACCAACCAAAGAATTTTCCTTATCTCCGAATGCTGCACTTGCTTTTTCATTGCGAATATCAACCTATAGTTAATTGTGAATAACATCGTATTAATTTCAGTAATAGAACCATTTCAAAAAAACTATAGGATTCATGCAAAAATTATTATTTTATAATGCTTGCTTTGAAAAAATGGTTTTCCAAATCTTACTCATAATTTTGAGAATGAATAATTTGGAATTTGATTTCACTACATATCTATGCCTATTTTGATTTCAAATTTCTTGCCTTAAAAAAATGGTCTTAATGCTACGAAATATTTTTGTAACCTTTCCAAGAATTTGTTTTCCTTCCCAGGTTATAACGCATGGTGAAATAATTCCTTTGTAATCAACATAAACTGGTATCCACTCCTTCTCTTCAAATGTACCGCACACCGAAAATGGTATCCAATCGTAGTCATAACCGCGTACGTGTTCTGCAAGTTCTACCAGAACTTGAAGTGATCCAACTTTATCACGATACTCGTGTCCGTTCCATCCGAAAGCAGCGGCAACCTGAAAAATAACAATTATATCTTCTGCATTTTACAATCTAGTGATAGAAAGCGATTTTTCATCTAAAATGATATTCAGAGCAAATGATATTAAATGAAGCAATAGAAGGGTGTTTTTCTTCGTGCTTTTCAATGAATTTCATTTGTACATCCGAAGTCTGATTACTTGATATGGTAGCACCTCAAACTAGGGAGTTCATATTAGTCCTCACTTTGGTCTAGAAATAGTATGTAATTTGAAAATAGCAGTTATCTTTATGCGCAATCTCTTTGTGTTCCTAACTTTTTAGTGCTAAGATAACTGGTTTATAGAATTTTCCTGACTTATTCAATGGCACATATAATATTTTGAAAAGCTGCAACAGTTCTTTGAAGGAGAACTGTTTTGGTTAGGAAGACTTTAATACCTTTCCATTAGCGTCTTTCCAAATTCTACCCATAATAGGTTCACCTTGTTGGTACCATAATGCGACATACTGATCAGGATTTTCTCCTGGCACAGTATCTAGTGTTTTTCCAAGTGCTTGCACCAATTTGCGGCTTGGCCAAGGATCGCCCATACGTAGATCCATCCATTCATCACGCATAATTCTTGGTGGTGGTGGAACAGGTGGTGGTGGTGGAGCTTCTATTTTCGGTGGTGGTGGTGGTGGCGGCGGTGGTACATAGCATTTTTCACACTCACAACCAGGTGGACCACCTTTGACATTACGAACTATAATAAACATATCATCCAGTTGGACTCCCTGTAGTGTCTCTGTTTTACCATCATGAGAAAAATGAGCCTGAAATAATATGCATTTCAGTGAATTGCTTTTGTATTTAGTGAAAAAAAAAATAACTAAACTGTATTTACATTTCTCACAATAGATTCCTACACATCCATCATATTGAAGCATCCTTTCATTTTCTCATTTTCTTTTCTATTTAAGAATATTTACTTAGTATTTATTAAATTATATGTACTTGTGTATTTGTTAATGCGTTAATTAATTAATTAATTATCTTCTTGATCAAACATACCAGCTCGGTAGCATCCAAATAACCCATCAAAGGACCTTCTTTACGTGATTTCCAGAAAATGGGCAAGGAATCACCACATTTTAGCATTTGCCTTTCATCACTTTTCTCAAAACGATCCTTATATTTAATCCATTCGTACCAGAAACCAAGTGTATTATGGTCACCCTTGTATTGTAAAACCTAAACTTCAGCTTGTGCTATTCAGTCATTCTAGAAATATCATACCAATTATTATACGTTTTTGTGATTCAGCGCTTCCTTTTCACAGAGGACAAATTCTCGCATATTCATAAATTATTCTTTTTTTGTTGTCCTTTTTTAAAAGCGATCCCTTATTTCAAAGTTTATTCTCATTCAAATCTGTGTAAAATATCAATAAGAATCAACCGTTTTACTTCATCACACTGATGATTTATTTTAAATTCAAGTTCCACACTTCAGCATATCACACAGCCAAACTTAATAGGCGTAAAAAGCTTCAAAAAAAATTCAAGCTTTGTCAGAGAAGAGGGAAACAGAAGAAAAGAAAAGATTAACGGATAATTAGACATAAACTTCAATAAAACTTCAGTTTCACTGGAAGAAAGTTTTTGATTTTAGAATCTTATAAAGCAGTGTTCAAAATTGTTTTTCGAGAGAATAACATAGTAAGTTTTTAACGTTGGTAATTCAATTTTCCTTTTATCTACGATAAAATAAGCTTGACGAATTTTAATTTGCACACTTCTTTAGATTTATTTATTGAAAAGAAGTTTTGGGCAATAATATTAAGCAGAAACTTTGAATAAATATTGTTTTCCGAATAAAACTCTGAAAAAATTTTAAAAATTATAATGGAAACGTCAAAAATTAATGATGTATATTTTTGTATATTTAACTTAAACCAGCTTACAGTTTTATTTTAATTAGTCAAAAAATGATTCAAATTAACCTGAATTTGACCACCCAGATCTTTAGCTCCTGTCAATTCAGCATTTTTATAAGGAAATGAGCATTCCAAGACACCGCCATTGTTCCACGCTCGTCCATGAACAGGTTTTCCATGCTTGTACCATAAAGCAACATATTGGTTAGGTTGATCGAGGGCATGAACTGGGGCATCAGGAAACGGTGAACCAATTGGACCGAATGCCCAAATATCCTCTTGAGCTTTTGGATTACCCATTGACCTCAATTAAACTGCCAACTGTGGACGCGAAGTGCAGTTGAAAATAACGCAATCATTGATTGCTCTAAATTTATATACGTTTTAAATTATGCAAATTTTTCGAAAAAAATTTTTTTTTAAGACATTAAACTTGGCGTGAGAAAAAAGCATGCAAATTTTGCTAATATTCATTTTCACTTATGATGTAAGAATAACTTAATTCGAAGAAAAATTTTTGTAAAAATACCTCACCTAACAAAATTAGTTAAACCATTTTTTTTCTAAGTCAAAAAAATACAAAATATTCAATTTAACAAGCTGTGATGAAAACTATCATCGAAATTTTTATTGCTTTTCAGAAAAAAAAATCGTAATCTTTCTTTTTAATTTTGAGTTCGAAATATTAAGTAAATAAGCTTTCTATTTGCTGAGATTTTCTGTGAATTTAGCTTTTTGAAGCATTGTTGAGCATTCATAATCTAGCTCTAGAATACAGTTAATTTTCTGATGCTTTTTGGCACACCAACTCGAATTGAAAGCTTATTTACGTAATAAAATTATTTTGAAAATTAACTTGTCTATTAAATATGTTTTCAAAGCAAAAAGATAAAAGTACTTATAAAGTAATATAAACTACACTAATGAAAAAATTAGTAAAAGATAAGTTAAAGGAACATAATTAGTTATGTGATGTTACTGAACTTCTTCCGTCATTTTTTCAACTTTATGGCTGATTTAAAGCTTAAATTTCAATAGAAATTCATATGAGATTTCGTGTGATATAATTCTGTATTTTCAGAATTTTGAAACTTTCTTCGCATTTTCTGTGTAAAAATTATTTTTGTGCTTGTTTCTCTTCTTTAGATTATTTAAAAAATGCACAGCTATTGTAGTGAATAGTTAATCTGCTAATCAACAGCTACTTATTTTGATTGTTATCTGTTTCTTTTTAAATTCAGAATTGAAGTAAAGTCAAATTGAAGTTAGATAATAAAATAAAAGAAGGTTCTTTGCTTAAAAATATCCATTGCTTTTACTAATATTGTCCTTACTTGAACTCAGTAAATAATTTATAGTTATCTTCCCTTATCACCAAAATCAATCTGAAGAATATGAGTAGTAAGGTTTTTAAAAATTTTACTGCTACTCTCATTTCAATTTTCATAACTTTTTTCATATTTGACCATTTGCAAAAAACTATTCAAAAATTGATAGTGCCTCATGGATTATAACAAATTTTCGTTCAGAATTAATTTATATCTTTAAAAAAGAAATAGGGGAGGAATTATGTTGAGAAAGTATATAAAAACATTTGAATTTGCAAAAATTTTTTTTGACCTAAAAAAGTTTGAGAAGGCAGCGTAACTATCACAAAACGTGCAAAATAAACATGCAAAAATTTTCTACTCAAAATTAAAATTTTCCACTTCTCAATTATCGTCTTTAAAAACAAATTAATTTGAGCAAATTGTAATTAATTTTCATTGTTTGACTCAGATTTTTTGACTACTTTTAAATATTTTAATATATATAATATTCTTCAATCTAAAAATTTTTGTATCTATCGCCATTCCATTGAATATTCTGTTTTTAAGTCTTGCGAAAAAGTAAATCAAACATAATGATTATATCAATAATTAAATCCAGAATTTGATTCTTAATAATCCGAAAATTCTTCTCCATTTGTCTAGCGCTATCTCTAAAATCTGATATTCAATGACTGATCAAAGTATTAAGGCAAAAGCTTTTAATTCAGTCTCAAACTCATTCTTGGAAATACATGAAATTTTTTGAGTGACAAATGAAGCAAATACATGTTTTTTTTTCTAGCTCGAAGAATTAGCAAAAAAATTCAAGCATTCTATTTCCACTTAAAAATTATTATCAGTGCGCCAAGTTAAGTTATTCAGAAGCTTCAAATGCTTTATTTTGATTCCAAATCATAACTTCAATGTATTTAGAACTTTAATTGAGAATGTAAGTGTTTGCTTCGTTTGTACTTGCAAGTTTTTTTATGAGTTATTTACAAAAATGAGTTTTGTGTGTGATTCAAAATTCCAATTTTAACAATTCTAATGACTATATGATTGGAAAAACGTAATTCCGATAAAGAACTGAACTTACAAATTAAATCTTTGCTTTCATAAATTTTTTTCTTCAAAAATATGACTTTAAGTTGCTTTTGCATATTATATTTAATGATTTTTCAGAAATAGAAGTTGCAAATCGCAGTGTTTTAACAGCTAGAAAATTAAGTTTTGACTTGACTAATCCGCGCATTCTCATTAAGAGAACTTTGCTTCGTTTACTTCAAACAAACATCAGAATTTGCATTTCCGCTCAATGCATTTTTTTTTGTTATAAATTGAAAGCAAATAATTGTAATAAACAACAATTTTTAATACATTTGTCTCAATAAATTAGATTTAGCGAAATTATTTTTTACTGCCACAATTTGTATTACTCGAAGTTTATTCAAGAGCAGTGGAGGACGGGAAAGAAAGTTTAGAGACTAATAGGAGTGTGATAAATTTTTCTCAGCGATTTCACTAGTATATTTAGCAATTTGGGATGTAACTTTTTCGTATCACTTCACATTTGAAAACTTATTAAAAAAATGAGGTCAAATAAAGAAATGCAGAAGGAAGGATAAACATAAATAGGTTAGAGTGCACTATGCAAATCGTTTCGTTTATTTCATTTGAATTCTCTACTCAATTTTTTGTTATGAATTACTCAGCTATTACTATATTTTTTCTCCCACTAAAATCACTACATTTATTCGCTGAAATCACCGCAAGCTTTTACCTTTCAAGTATTAATTTGCTTGTTAGTGCGATTGTTTTTTAAATGAAAGTTTTTGCATGATATATTTTTTTGCTACATTTTTTAAGTTTCATAAGAATCACTTAATTTGACCTAAAATACTTCTTTCTCAGACAGTAACAAAAACAGTACCATGGTAGCAATAACAACAACAAGTACTAATGATAATTATTATTTATAATATTAATAATGAATTTTCAAATTTCATGCACAGTCAGACATTTTTCCTCAAGACTAATATTCTCCACTGATAATGTTAGTAGTATTACCATCCTGATAGCAGTAGTTGTTTACCTTCGACTTTGGGATTAACTCAACTTATATAAAATAAGTTTGACATCAAACTTATTCAAAGATACTGAGATTGCTGGGCTGAAACTAAGCTTCTTTTTTTTTTTCACAGTGCCAAAAAATAGTTCAATTCAGTTGTTTGTTTATTGGATTTTGATATCGAAATTGGATGTTGTCATTATTATCTAATTTAATTTTTCAGTGATTAGCTACAGTTAGTGTTTCTGTGATTCATTACGCTCACCGAGTGTAATGAAATTAAGAAGCAAAATTTTTTAAACTAAAAATATTAATTTCTTTGAAATTATCAGATTTACTTTCATATAATTCATATTAAGTGAGAATGACGGAAATGAGAGAATTGCTGTAAAATAGGCCAAAGTAGTCGTTGCTTCCGAGAATCTGCAATCTCACATATTGTAAGAATCACTATCATTTAATCTAAGGAGCAATATCTTGGAAATGACAAAATGATAAGGTCATCCGAGCAAAATTTATCAATTATTCGCTCTGTTGATACCACAGTTTTCGTATTCAGCACAGCATTCCTATTTGATCTCTTTTAATAAATTCCAACTACGAAAGGAACTCAAATAAATATTAATTTTGATTTTATAAAATTAAAAAAATGTATAATTTGTGAATAATTTCATTTGCTTTATTGCGCAGTTATTTGCATTCATTATACGTGTCACTTTGGTATTTGTAATGTCGACAAATAACAACTTTAAATCGCTTTTCCACATCGTTTCAACCATAATTTTTTGATTTTGAATGGTTATTTGATTTAATTATTCAGTCAAAAAAATGGGTCATAAATAGTAATAACAAATTTTTGATTACAGAAACTCATGTAAAAATATTGCATACTCTCAAATAATTTATGATGTATTTGACTACAAAATGTTTTTGTGAAGATTTTTTGTGAAAAAGAATTTGAAAATTGTAGCCTTAATCTCGGCATTATAATAAAATTCATTATAAGTGGCGGATTTAGGTCAAAATACGTGGCTAATCCATCGATTACCATGATGTAATGTTGGTTCATCAGGTGGCTAATCCATCTATGATAAAATGATCAAAACATTCAAAAACAGTTTTTAACACAATTAACCACGGATGATTACAGCTCATGCCCACTGCAAATTGCTCTCTTTTAAATTTTACAATAGTCTCAATAAACTTAAAAGGCATATTTTGATAAAAAACAATATATTTGAGGGTCATTGGTATGCTAAATGAATAAAGACAAAAAATTACCCAAAATATTTGATTACAATACAATATCTGAAATTGCAAATAGGGTTTATAGGGAGGGGAGAGGGCAGTGATGATATTTATTTAAATGGAAGAAATTACGAACGGTGCGTAAGATTTGAAAGTCGGATAATCCCTGAGAACAATTTTATATTTATGTATTAACAAACAAATTTGATTGTTCTCTTTTGCTTTGATGGATTTCTAAATAGTAAAAGAAACTATTCATTGCTCTTCTCTGAAAATGATGGCCTTATTTAAGGATAGCAATTCAAAACACTTTTACATTTCAATCCGATCATCCATCCATCCATCTACACATTTATGCATGTGTATTCAACTATTTATCCATATATGCATTGATTACTATTAAAATTATTTCTTCATTGCCTAATAATTTAATTTTACTGTATAATGTCATTAATTATTAGACTGATTGTCCTTTTCAATCCAAAAATTGTTATTTTACTGACCAATTTCTTTTCTTAATATCATTTGAATTAAAGTTACTCTGTGATAGATCAATGTAAAAGATTAAGACACCCAAACTTAACTTTTAGTATTATTACTTTTGACGGAATAAATAAAGTATTATAATTACAAAGTATTTAATAACAAGTATTCATGAATTTTAATTACTGTAG